GTAGGTATTAAGATTATTTAAAAATTTAAAGTTGTTTAAAAAATATAATAAACAAATAAACATAGAATCTTGTAACTTTAAATGCATCAAGGGCGTAGTTTACGGAATGAAATCTACAGACTTGTTCTAACACGACTTATTGGTCAACTGGCGTGTTTTGGCTAGTGCATAATTTTATTTAGGTTTAGTGTGTTGAAGGAAATGTGTAAATAAGTACCTACTAGATGTTTGGAAGTACCTAAACTGTCTTAAAAGTAGTTAAATTACTTAAAAGGAATTAAAATAAACAAAAATAGTAAGAATACCTAAAGTAGTTAAATATGAGGAGTTAACTATTTTCTGCGAATATTTTATGCCAGCATAAAATAATCGAGTATAACTACTAATAGAACGAAAGTAGTTAGAAAGTAGTTAGTGTAAAACTAGAACTAACACTAGACCTAGAACTAGAATCATTCGGGTTTAGCCGTCTTTAGAGACGTGGGGCTAAATCTAAATGATTCTAGTTGTAGGTATAGTGTTACTTCTGCATAGTAACAGTGCAAGTGTAAAACTAGAACTAGCACTAGACCTAGAACTAGAAACATTCGGGTTTAGCCGTCTTTAGAGACGTGTGGCTAAATCCAAATGATTCTAGCTCTAGGTATAGTGTTACAGTTCTAGGTCAAGTGTTAGTTCTAGTTTTAATTGTTATGTAGCGCTAGACCAAGAACTAGAATCATTCGGGTTTAGCCGTCTTAAGAGACGTACAGCTAAATCGAAATGTTTCTAGTTTCAGATGTAATGTTAGTTCTAGTTATAGTGCAAGTGTAAAACTAGAAGTAACACTATACCTAGAACTAGAATCATTCGGGTTTAGCCGTCTTTAGAGACGTGAGGCTAAACCCTACCTAAAAAAGGTATTATTTTTAGGGTTCGCAAAAAAACGGAATATTTCAAAAACCGGTTTTTCAAATAATTAATAATGGCAAATAACCAAAAAAATTGCGTAAAGTACAAGAAAGTGTTTATAGAAGGATGTCATAGTATATTAAAAAACAAGTTTCGTAAGACACGCTTGAAATGCACGAATTCAAGTTGAAAAACGAGTGGCAAAGCCACGAGTTTTTTAATGAATGAGTGCTTTAAGTCTTATGAAACGTGTTTTTTATGCTATTTTTTAATGAAGCAGAGCTA